CAATGTAAATATATACATTGAGAAGTTCTCTACTCAATATTTTGTAGACACTTACACACAAACAGAATTCTTCTTTCTAATATGTCTATAAAGATCAATGATTTGGTCTCTTTTTGACTAGCATTGCTCCATGTAATCTGATCCTAGTGGGCTATTTGATTCATTGGCTTACAACTACAAATAAACATTTCTCTGAACTGAGCTTATGAAAAGGTTTCCTGCATGTAAAGTGAATCCTCCTCTTGTTCTTAAAAGAAAATCTATTTGCGCATTTCTTGCTTTGAACTGTGTACTTTGTAAGTGTTTCTCCTCTGCTACATGTCAAATAGCATACATCTTTGAGCATTATCCATATTCTCTACTCTCCTTTTTGATGTTGATACAAAGGGATTGCAGATTAGAGGTACTAATGCAAAGCCTGAAAATCAATTCTGTCCCAGTTGGGATAATGGAAATCACTAACCTTATACAAGAGAGGAATGGAGTTTTAGACCTCAAGGTCACCAGCTTGTTGCTCTGCCACTGGATTGAATCTGTAGTAGTATAGTATTTTCACTAATTATTGTGTAAGGTACTATTTGTTTTGTTGTTTTTTTTTTTTTAATTTTAAGAATTAGTAATTTATTATTATTTTTACTATTATTATCAAAATTCTTACAAGTAAGACTTTTTTTTTTACTTTCTTGGTCAAGTTTGGTAACATGTTTGACATTTAAACCTCTTGACTAATATATTTGTTTTACTTTTTTGTAATATTCCTGCTAATTTATGGTTTCTTTACCATTTAGACAGATGTCACTCTCAAATATACAGATGCATGGGTAGTGTAATGGCTATCAGTACTGAAAATGTAATTGGGGAATTGAGTTCAAATTCCAGCCTAGTTTGTTACATTCACTTTTGCCCTTGGGGAAGGCATGAATCTCTTTTTCTCACTACTGCTTCCTTCAGCTATGAGTTAAATAACTAGGCTCTCTAGCCTTGTGTGGCAACCAGTCTAAAAGAAGGAAAACCAAATTCCAAACCATATAGAAGATTTAACATTATTATCATTATCCATTACAAATGAAAACACAAGCCTGAATCTCACATTCATAATATTACTGTCTATTTCACCCTGAACTTCATCAGTGGGTGTGGCTTTGGGGCTTTCACCAAATGTGGACCCTACACTCTCATGGGCATGTAAGGACTCTCTTTTCTCTAGAGTTGGTGTTTATATATCTATCTATACAGTTTTTCCCCCATGTATGTACACCTAAAGCATAGCTGGGTTGAACATTTAATCACATGTCAGGTCAGGTTACTGACATCAAGTGAAGCACAGATTTCCACCCAGCAACTAGGAGGTCATCCTTCAACTCAATTCGTCAATGCACCTAATTTCTCTGAAGGGCACTGTGCAAAGTCTATTCTGGCATTATCTGGGGTTAGTCACACACTACAAGAGCAATGAGAAACCACTCCTCACACTTTTCCAAGAATGCATTGCAATTCCAAGATGGTATACAAGATATCTGTGAGTCGTGATTGCCTACATCCTGAAGGGACATTTAGAAAAAAAAAAAAAAAAAAATCTTGAAACAGTTGTGATGTTGATTAGTATTAAAATAATAATATTTTCAGTTACTATTGATATATTTTTTTCTCTGAGTCATGTCCTTTCTGGACATGGTCAATCTGTTTTTGTTGTTCTAAATAACTTTTGATTCTTTAGCATTCATCTTTGTCCTTCTTCTGTCATCCATTCACACACACACACATAATAAGTATATGACTCACTGTTCTCCACCCTCTTCTCAATTCTCTTGCCTTAAAAATAACTTGAGTGTTAAATTCTCTAGGCCCAGTGTCCTCATTTCTGATTGTAAGTATAACTTCCTTGTAGTTTCTATTTTCCTTAAGACTTCCTCATTGTTCACATGTTCTGTGCATAATAGTTTTACTATTTGTCAGTAGAACCACATCTGTTACTTCATGCTTTGTCTTCATCCAAATGTTAACCCTACTATAACCAAGAGACGTCTGTAAACAACTATGGTTAAATAAGAATATATTTGTTATTCTAGCTGTTAGGAACTGTCAGTGATCCATTTTTCATTGGATTGTTCTTTTGTTATCAATGGTTGTTAACTTTGCTTTCAGGAATGGAACAGTTTAACTTGTTCTGTATAATTCTAATGTAGAATTTTCTAAAATTGAAATAACAAATATACAAAACTGTATGGTCATTTTTTTTTATATCTATACATGTTTCTTGTAGAATTGCAGTACTTATGTGCCAGAGACAATATAAGACACACCACCAGACACACATCTACATTGTATGGTAGTGAACATGTTAAAAAAAATTTTCATGAACTTGTTTATTTGACTTTTTCAATCAAAGAAATTGCTGTTAATCACAATACTATTCAGGTTGAAATAAAAGGATAGATTTGAAAAATTCATTTAAAATTCTTTTTAGTAAGAAAAATGGAGGGAGAGAAGATTGGAATAAACAAATTTTGAAAAAAAAAAAAGTGGGGAAAAAATAAAATAAATGGTGACACTGGAATAACTGGGTATCTTGAAAAGAATATATCATTTAGATAGCCAGCAGCTATGTCTGTCTGTTCTGGACACTAGATGTTTACTCTACAACAAGACTAAAGCAATATAAAGTTACTCATAGATTCTTTTACATAAATGGTTTTAAATCGGTTATCCTTCACTTTCTCTCTCCTC